TGACAAGAACTGGTTTGAGCGGTTCTTCTTTGTGAATCCTACTCCCGGGGAGTGGGCAAGTGAACGTAGGATGACAGCGTGAAGGGGTTTGAGTCGGATGTGGGTGCTTATGACCGCTTGGAGGATGAGTATGAGATGCTTCTCGAGGAGAGGATTGATCTCTATCACAAAGGAGTCCGCGCGGCTCGTCTGGCGGAGTTGTTTAACGATGGTTAGTTACCTCTTTTGTTTGTGTATTCTGTAGTATTAATGGACTTCTTACGACTTATTGTTGCAGGCGTTGACTACTCGACCATAGCGAGCATGATGTCTGTGGATGACATCGGAAGCCCCGCGCGGAAAAGAAGAGGAAGGAAGCGGAGCAGCCTGTGGCGGCGGAGAGAGCGAGCAAGGTTGCTCGCACTACGGAGCAGGCGATGCGGCAGGTTGCCGACAAGGAGGTCCCTGTGAGCAAGCCTCTGCGGCAAGATAAGGCGGTCGCTGGTGGTTCGTCTGGGCACGTTGTGCAACAGACGCTGCCAGATATGCCTGGGTTCGGAACGCTTGTTTCCACCCACTTTCGAGACGTGCGGGTGCATTCTGGCGCTGCATCGTCTTTGACTGCCGCGTAGAGTGCTTTGAACACTTTGGGCCCCATCTTGAGCATTCCTCCACGGGATGGAGAACACCGACCCGCTGCACTACCTTGCGCAGATCCACTTCGCGGTTAATAGCAGTTTACGTGTGGCCGTGATGTTCAACTTGTATTCTGCTTCTCTTTTTCCTTCTTCTTCTTTTTCCTCTTTTTTTTTGTTAAAGGCATGTGGCGCTTTGTTCCTTTGCTTAGAGTTTGCTGGCAATATTCCACGCCCAACAAGAGCGGGCCAATGACACCGCTATGTTGAAAGCGGAAGTGGACAAGAGCATTCAGCTCGAGGGCAAGGTGGCAGGGGCTGAGAGTCGCGCGGAGGATGGGACGAAGAAGGCGAATGAGCCCATGGAGCGGCTTGGTCTTCTGTAGAGTAAGCTTTCCGATGAAGTTGCTGCCGCGAAGGAGAAGACCTGCGTGGAGGAGATGGAGGCCATCCGCGAGGAAGTGAAGAAGGGGTATGAGGCTGAAATCCAACGGCTGGAGGCGGAGTAGGAGCGCCTCAAGGCGGACCATGATGAAGTGCTGAAGAACCGTCGAGACGAATTTCGCCAGGAGAAGGAGGACCTCGTCCGTGTTCATGAGGTCGCGAAGGCAACCCACGTCCGCGAGGCGCAGACAGACATCGTCCGCCAGTATAGGAGCAGCGCCACCTTTAGTCGTGTTTTGGTGGATTGTATGACCAATGCGGTCATAGCCGTGCGCAAGAAGGTGCGCCTGGAGAATCCCGGGATGCGCTGGAATACAGTGGCCATGGTCAATCACGTCAAGAAATGGTTGGGCGAGAAGCGATCACTGGAACCAGACCCCGAGCCAGAGGATGGTGAGGAGGGTGGGGATGTTGCGGATGCCCTGAAAATGTTATAATAGATTAGGCCAAGTGTGTTCGCGGAATCATGTTCGCGTTTGTTGTTTTTGACTGGTTGGTTATTCTCTATTAAAGCGAATCCAAAATTTTCTTTTCACGCGTAATTCATGATTAGCGCTTTTCGTGTTCTATGAACTTTATATCTATCTTTCGCGCGGTGCGTGATGGCGCGAGTCGCGAACCATTGTCGTGTTTTTCGTACGTAATTCATGACTAGCTCTTTTCATGTTCCACCGAACTTTGTATCTATCTCTTACGCAAAGGAAATATTGTTATCATTTTAAACTCACGCTAGTAGATAAGTTATACACCAGGTAGGTCGGCAATATTTCCTAAGGTTCTGTGCGTTCCATGTCCTTGGAATTTTTGCGCCGCCCAATTCGCAAAGATAGAACGTGTTGGCGCCGCCGACCTCGCGGATTAGGTATGGACCTTCCCATGTGGATGCGAGCTTTCCGTGTTTGGGGTCGGGACGGAAGTTTTGCCGCAGGACTTGGTCTTCGAGAATCAGCTTGTGGGTAGGGGTGTACATGGGTCGGTTGGGTTGGGTTTTGATCATTATAGTCACCCGACCCATACACTACGGTTTACACATCATGAAACCCAAACCCACCCAATAAAATTAGAACCCACACGGTTTTGGTCGGTTCGGATCGGAGAGTAAATCCAACAAAACCCAACCCATACATCACGGTCCAACAGAAATATGTAATTCTATTACTCATTTACTCTTTTGTCTACTAATAACTTATTTGCTTACCAAAGTAACAGCTAAACTAAGAAGATTGAAACAGTTGCAATTCTCCTGTGTGATAATCCAAAAAATTGCTGGTATATATATATTTAGCTACGGAGTTGCAATTGGTAATCTTTTATGCAAAAGAATAACTAAATTATGAGGCTGCAGAAGATCAAACAACTAGAACAAAGGACAAAGGGCAAAGGAACTGACTGATTACATAGTGGACAACATGATATATAAATGAGTTGCGGGTGGTTCGGATTCTTCGGTTGGAGAGTTCCCAAACTGGGTCCAACCGTGGATGTGGAGGGGTTACAATAAAAAAACCCGGATCCACCCATATATTTTGTAGCTCAACGGTTTTACGGGTGGGTCGGTTCGGATTCACGGGTTGGATCGGTTTACGGATTGATATGTTCACCCCTACTTGTGGGGAACCAGTTTTCGCGTTGTAGTATTTTGCTACCTGCTCCTTAGTTGCGGCTAGCTTGATGGCTGTCAATTCTCGTCGTTCGTGTGCCAACTCCAAGTCCAGCAGGCGTGCTTCATCATTGCTCTCTTCATCGTGCATTGTTATCCGATAAGTGGGTGCAGCCGTCAGTGGCGGAGCCAGGAAATTGGCTAAGGGGGTGTCTTTCTTCTCGGAAAAAAAAAAAGACAACTCTAAATATAAAAAAAAGTGTAACAACATAATACTCAAATATTACAATTACATAACAATATTTCAAAACAAACCCTTTACAATGAACGGTGATGATTTTTATATTCTAAAAGTATTATACAACACATTCCTATCCAAATTAGCACATAAATCTCGTTCAATATGTTCATCATTCAACCACCCATCGTTCATTAGTTTCGAAGATTTGTCATGATATATTGCATGAATGAAAATGATTTCTACACACCTGTTATTGCAACATGCATCATTAGTATTTACTTGAAAAACAAATAAATTATACAATTTGTGTTTATTCGTTTCACTACCTCATCAATCCCTTACAAGTACTTCAACTTGTCGGATTACAAATATATATGAGTTCAAACTGATGAGCGCCCCCACTGTTTACACAACTCTGCCATTAGTGATGGGTACCCATAAGCCCCGAGCCAAAACCAACCATTCTTATATTCTGCAGGATAACAAACCCCGACAACTTAAGTAATTAAAAGCTAACCAATTATATAATTGAGATTTGGGGCTTAGCAAAATAAAGAACGGACAACTCATTGATTTAGGTTTCTTTTTTAACTCTCGGTTGCGCCAACTTAAAATACTTGAGCAGCTACCTTTAACTTACTCATCCTATTTGGAAAATTATTTTGCCCCACCAAGGGGGCTGCAAAGCACCCCCAGCTGTTAACACAGCTCCGCCACTGGCAGCCGTCTCGATGGGGATGACCACGTCTGTGCCGTATGTGAGCGCAAAAGGGGTTTTACCCGTGGCTATCTTGAACGTCGTGCGGTGCGCCCACAGCACTGTATGTAGTTTGTCCGCCCAATTGCCTTTCACCTCATCGAGGCGGGTAGGGATGGCAACAAAACTCGAACCCACGGGTACCCGCCCGACCCAATCCGGTCAACATGGGTAAAATCCGTGTTGACGGGTTTTGGGTCGGGTTTAGGTTATAAACCCGTTCACTATTCGTCGGGTTGGGTTTGGGTTTAGGTAAACCCGCCCCATGGGTACCCGCACACACCCATATAATTAATTTTCTCGGTATATTTAATATTCTAAACAACTAATCTTATTTATTTATGTTTGTGGAGACATGTCTAATTTTTTCTTTCTAATTGTGTAGAATGAAGTTGATGTTATTGAGTGGAGAGTGAAGAAACTTAATTGAAAGGAAGAAGTTTTCAATTAATCATGTTATTTATGGATAATTTGTGATTTGCTTTAATTTTCTTGAATTTTCTAGATTGGTGTTGAACAATTTGTATAGTTAATTTGTGATTTGCTTGAATATTTTAGAATAGTGTTTTATATATGGATAATTTGTATTGAGAGATTGATATTTGACTTTAATTTTGATAGAAACTTGTTATTGTAAATTTTTTACGACAAAAACCCGTGTGTACCCATGAACCCGCGGATACCCAACGGGTTGGGTTGGGTTTGAGTTTTTCAAACCTAGTGGGTTTTACCCCGGGTTTTTTTTCACGGATAAACCCATGGGTTTGGGTTTGACAAAACCCGACCCAACCCGACCCATTGCCATCCCTAGAGGCGGGTGTGTAGGCCGTGTAAGATTGCTTTGTTCGCCGATTCCGCCTGGCCATTGGCTTGGGGATAAGCTACTGATTGCTTTGTTAGCCATTCGTTTACGCGCAACAGTAGTTGTGGCTAATAATTTATATTTCCATAGTTGTAGCTATAATTTCCCGCTTCTTAATAGTTGTTGCTAAGAGCATTCACATTGGTATTGCAATTTCAATTGCAAGATGACATGACATGAGTATTTGCAATTGCAAAACCTATTGCATTGATGTGGCTACCAATTGCATATTTGCAAGCTTACAATAAATGAAATTGCATATGCAAGTTAAAAAGGCCTAAAATTTTTTTTTCCCATTTTTTATTTTTATAGTTTAAATATTATATTTGATTATTTATATAATTACAAGTTAATTGCATTGGTGTAGGGGAATGAAAGTGATTTGAGGTGAATTGCAAAAGAATTGAGTTGGCAATATGCAATTGTATTAATATAGATGCTTTCATATATTGTATTTACGAAAAAAAAATCAAACACTTTATCGGGCGAACAGTTGAAACAGGGTCGACAACCTTCAAAGTTCAATCGGTATTTCTTTCCTTGAAGTGTTCTTTGTTCTGCTAATTAATTCCTGGACAACCCTTCCTTGCTCTCAATAATTGAATCGACTTGGGGGGTTATCTGAGAGCTGATATTCACTTTCGCACGGGCATTGTCTAGCTGAAGAGACGAACATCAACTCCAGGATCTAAACTCTAACCGGCCACCGGCCTCCGCCACTACGCAGCTGCGGCGCCGATGCCGACCAAATGGTTAGAACTTCGAAACTCGTCCTTCTTCTACAAACCGCGCCGCACTCCCAAACCCCGAAATTTACTTCTCTGTTTCCTAGGGTTTTGCACTGGCATCCCAACCCCGGAAGCACCGTCAACAGTCAAATCCTGAACGAGGTGTCGCAGTGCGCGGAAGCCATCAATGGCGTGAAAGACGGGAGGTGGAAAGCTACCCTAACGCTCTTGAAGCCCAATTTACGAGGTATCACATTTTCCTTCCTTACACTTCCCGTCACCAATTCTACGGATTCGTAATTGAGATTTTGGGGTGTCAATTTGGGGAACCAAGACCAGTCCCAACCCGGCGAATATCCTCGAGAGCTGCTGGGGATTTCGCTGCCGGAGCAGCCAAACAAGTACTATTTCATACTCAGGGGCCCAAGGATTGTAACGGAGGCTGATTCCTCGATTCAGGTCATAATGGAGAAGCTGCAGTCTTACAAATCCAGAATCGCGCTTTACTTTGAGGTGTGTTTGTTGGAAAGATGAATAGGCTTAGTTTAGAGTTATGTTGCCTGACATTTGTGGCAGAACTCCGGATGCGGGTTGGTGTGCTGATGCTCTGAAATATGGTGATTGTGTAGGGTTACCAGTACCAACTTGGGGATTTTCAGTTGAGAGTGGGGAAAGTCGTCTCCAGCCACTCTGAGAACTTGAGAGGGATAGTGTTGGAGGTATGAAATCTCGCATGAGAACTCCCCACTAGTGTTCTGTTCAACATTTCTGTGTTTTCTGTTGGTGCATATGCATGCTTGCTTTCTTTTTATCATCTGCTGTAGTTCATTTTTATCTATACTCTGAGCAAAATTATGTGGAGGATTATGCTATATTGCTAATCAAGGATTGTATAAATGATTGATGTTTCCACTGGCCTGATAAGTCCATGGTGCAGTGTCTTTATGGTTACAAGATCATGCTTTTCCTAGGTACCCTATATAACGTTCTCGATGTTGGAAGAACATAGACTTAGAAAACGCAATTCGTGCTGAAAGGTATTTAACTTAATTTAGTTTGAAGATAGGGAATTGGCTTGTTTAGTGCTTCAAGTGAAAATTTGAAAGTGGCAGATCATATTAAGATTTAGTCTTTTGATTGTTAATGATGCAAGGAAAGATGGGAATGATCCAATTCTGCCTACTGACATTAACATTTTTATACCTAGGTCGTCCTGCCAACTGTGACTGTGGTGTACCTCACCATTTTACATTAGATAATGCTTTTGAATCTTGCTGTTTATCAAAATAGTAAGGTGGTAAGGATGGAATCATTAGTATGTTTTGATGAGTATTGCACTGACTTTGAAGGTGGAGTATCTTCCGATATCTTCAATGGAGAAAGCGAGTCAAGTATTGGGCGAGTTTGTTGATATATGGCAAGAAGCTGTCTTGAAGCGATCACTGCCTGGGAGCTTTATGCACAATGAACCCAATTTGTCAGAGTATGGTTTGGGAGATAACTACACACCACAACACACAGCGGTACAGTACGCTTATGTGATGGCTCAACTATTTGCATCACAGTCTACGCAAGCAGTGAGAAATTAGGAGTCGACGAGATATGAAAATTCTAGCAGCACAAGTTGTAATAGGTTGCCAGTCTTTTCTTCTGGCAGGAGCCTCGAGATTGTCTTGTTACATTAGGGCATTGAAGGTGGATAATATATCTCGAATAGACTGCTTACCGAATCTTCAAAACTCATTATATCTAGAATGTTACACTATTTAGACTACTTCGACTAGATTCGTCGGTGGACTGTCCAATTGGACTATGGGTGTGCAACGGTTGCTTTGTATCGGACCGCAGACGGTCAATGGAGTCCCTGGAGGTTTGACTACAGATACTTGGAGCTAAGGGGTGATATTTTTAACACACATTCATTCCTAGTCTTCGAGATATCATGTCTTGTTAAGAAGTCCTCCTAGTTTAAGTTATTTTAGTGATGTGGTCATTCTTAATCTTGTTTAGCTTCATGTTATTGGAACAAATGAAACCAGATAAGGAGCTTGGTTCTGATCTGGTTCAGATGCATGTTCTTGAGCACAATGAACTGCACAATCAAGCTTCTGCAATTCTTAGCTCCTGTTCATGTTGTTGGGCAAACTTGATATTATTATAGATAGCAGTTCGTACAGGAATTCCTAGAGTTTGTGGAGGATCAGTTGGGCTCCATGCTGTGGTTGAAGCAACATAAACAGTATTGAGGGCGTGTGCATAAGGTGAGAGCTTAACGAGAAATTCTGCAGAATCATAGCCAGAGAGCCCTCTTAAGCTTCTAATATGGCAAACTGATGGCCGATACAGGTCCTTGGTCTGAAGCCGAAAGAAGGCCAGACGATGTTCTGATGATTGCCTTTACAGCTCCGTCAGAGAATCCTGTGCATTTCACTTTCTGGCGTAATAATCTGTGTGTTCTGTAGCGATTGATCTCTCTGTTTCAGCTGGACAAAACAGAGTGTCGGAGGTTTTGTTTGTAACCGGAATTTCAATTCACGAAAGCTTGCATTATTCCAAGCATAGCCCCAACCCATCATCCCCTTCATGTTAGCAATTGCAGAATCCCGTCTAGGATACTTTGCAATTGAGGGGGATGCCTGCCAACGAGGATGGTTTGCGCTTACACCGCGCCAAAGTGCTCGACATGAAGGGTTTTAAAGCCTCGCTCTCGACGTCGTAAAGTTTGTAGTGTGGATTTCCTTGCCCATTATAATGCATTTTGTGTTCACCCTTTTGAAGACCTCATTTCTCTAGGCTGCAACCGATGTTAATGTTTCTGCAGTTATCATTTCAAATGTTGGTGGAATTGATACACATACAAGCTGAATTGCTCAGATTTGTGAGCATGTTTAGCCCATTGCCCTCTATGCAAAAATGGTTTCATTTCTGTTCCAATCATTTTAGGTCTGTCATAGGGCTCAAGGCGACACAACTTAAACGAAAGATCACTACTTTGTATATATGTCCACATGATTCGCAACATCAGCATACAAAATCCAGCAAATCCAAAAATGAACAGCAGCTGGGATTATATATATAGCATCTGTCACAACTAGAGAAGAGGCAAGTACGACCTAGATCGACAACATTGCCTAGGGCAAGAAAGGAGGAAGCCGCCTAGACTAGAGCGAGCTCACAAGTGTTGCAGCCTGCAGGAACAGGGATATGCAAATTGGGGAAGAACATGAGGCAGGTAAAGCTTTTAATATGGGGTTAGCAGCGGAACCATCTCATAAGCCATCAAAACTGCGTTCTAAAATTACAGTTAAAGCAAACTTAAAGAGTTCCTAAGACAACTAAATCATCCTGCGTCTAAAAGAACTTCTACATGCTCCTGAATGGCGAATGCGGTAACTAAGAGTTCCTAAAACGCAATGCTGCATAACTAGCCACCAAAGGGATCGATCTTTCATTCATCAAAGGACACGGAGGCAACTCGTAGAGCAGAGGGAAAACCCTTTGTCCCTCGATACAATCAGTAGCAAGCAAAACTCTCAAAACAATATCAGTGCAGAAGACCATCCTTAATGTCTGTGTCGAGGTCCCTTCTCATCCAAGACAGGAGCAATCAGCTTAGTGTGTGCCTGTGTGGTGCATTTGAACCTAAAACAATACCATCACCATCTTCCAACACAGACTACCAACAGAAATCCAGAATGATACCAAGAAATCGAACGAATATCACCCTCTAGCAGATCATACTCCTCTCTGTTTTCCCTTTCCCCTACTTTTTCTTGAGAATGAAAAGTCCTCTAGATTAGCAAGAAGCTACATTGCAGACCTAGCAGAGAAAGCAAAGGGATAACTGTTCTACATGCTCCTGATCTTCCACTAGCATCATCAGCTACATAGAGTAGAATACACTAATGAATCCGCCGAAAGCAGTACACCGAAACACAATCAATCACCGAAGTATGCTTGCATCATCAATCACCAGATCAACAAGTGGAAACCCCAATCCCCTAACATTTACCAGATTGCATTATCAATTGGAAAGCCAAGCAGCCATAGAAAGTCAAGCACAACCTACCAGAAATGGGGTTTCAAGGAAAGAAACGACTGATAATCAGAGACTAGCCGACTGTGAAGACGGCACCACGAAATCGAGCACGATAACGCTCTCCAAATGCTCCCTAACTTTATCCTTCTCCGAGCTCACCAGCTCTCCCTTGGCATCCATCGAGTCGATCTCACCAACCCCAGGGAACACAGCCAGGGAAGCAATCGAATAACCTTTCGCCCTCTCCGGCGAGAAATTCTCCCCGACGGTGAGCTGCTGGATCTCCTCGAACTTCTCCTTCACCCCTCCAATCACCCGGAGGATCTCGTCCTTGGCTTCCGCCGCCGAACCCTCCTTCAGCTTCAGAAACGACAGCCTAACCGCCGACCCGGGCGGCGGAACGACGAGCCCAAGGAGGTCCCGGGCGACCCAATCGACGGCCATGACGTCGTCGCAGACGGGGAGGACGCGCTCCTTGACGGCGGCGACGTGGCTGGGGTGGACGGCGTAGGCCTTGAGGCCGTCCTTGGAGGAGTAGCGGCAGTGGAGGAGGTGGGTGAAAGGGATTGGGGAGGACTTGAGGCGGTGGATCGGGGCGGCGGAGAGGTGGAGGACCGGGTCGAGGGAGACGAGGGCGTTGAGGGAGCTCAGCATGGATTGGACTCCGGAAGGCTCGGCGGTCTCTTTGACTTTGAAGAGGACGACGTGCTCGATGGTTTCCGGCGGAGGGGCGGCGGCGGCGGCGGTCGACATTTTGAGGAAGGAGAGATGGGAGGATGGGCGGCGATTGGGAGACTGGAAATGAAGGGTGAAGGGGGAAGAAAAGTGTGGCCGTGTGGCTTTGAGAGAGAGCATGGACATTATTATTGCGTAATCCGAAGGAAGGAGAATGAAGAAGGGATGGTTGGTGATGGCGACACGAGGAAAAAACAGCAGCAGCGGAAAGAGTGTACGAGGGAGTGAGAGTGGGACACAGAGAACTGGGTTTGGAGTTTGGACTTGGAGAACGATGAGAAGTTTGATTTGGGCTGGTGGTGGACTTCTGCGTTGTTTTCTGAATCTTGGGCCTGAGGAGTATTTCTAGCAATGGACCCATATTACTCAATCCTGATTTTGATCCCGACTTCGCGTATAATGCGGGGTGGCTATACGCTCCGGTCCGGTTAAATTGGAACAAATTGATCCGGTTCCAGTCTGGTTTTTTTGGAATATAATAACTAAAGATTGGATTGGATACAGTCCGGTCTTGATTCGGTCCGGTCTTGACCCGGTCCGGTCTCAATTTGATCTTGATTTTAGGTGTTGGGGGTCTCTTATCCGGTTTTTTTTACCTCAAATCTAAGCCCGAATACGAGATTGTATTGTTTGCTATCCGGTCCCAGTCCGGGTTATACGATCCGGTTTCGGGTAAAATCAAACAGTCCAGTACCAAATAGCCAGCCCTATTAATAATGGTATAAGCGTGGGTTTTACGGGCAGAGTTTCACTCTGGGCGCGTCTTTGTTACAGTGCTATTCGATTTTAGGTAACCGACTTTGATCAGTTTGGATAGTGGTTATTTGGGCGGTTAACCAAAAATCACTAACATACATTCGGATTACACCTAATTGAACAAAATAATGGAGTTATAGCTTCGGTTTTTTCCCCAAGAAATACAATAAAATAGTGTTTTACCTGTTAACCTACACTAAGTAAATAAAATAGTCAAACACAAATCACCATCCAATTAAGTTAAGGAAGTACAGTTTAACATCAATTTCAATGCACAAACACAAACTTAAAAAGAGACCATAACAATCCTATATAAAAAGAGACAATAACAAAGAGCAAAGTTAAACTCCACCACAAGCATTATCATCAAAACATCAACCAAATCTAAGAAGTTCATAAATCCAAAAAAAAAAATATCCAAATTGAACGCCAAAATCATCATCATTCACCATAATGTCTGTTTGCAAACTATGAAGAATGTCATTACCATAATCTTCAACATTAAGGTCCTCATTCTCTTCATATCAGATTCACTTCTTGTTGGAAATGTGTATGAATAGTTTTGAAAGCTATAGAGTCTCAAGTGGAAAAACTACCACATTGGTAGTTTTACTTGGTGAAGTGATTATAAAGATAGGAGCCTCTCTCCTAAGGGCATGCCCCTTAGGGTGACCCACTTTTGTGGGAGAGGGAGGACCTAACGGACCACCACACACGCGCGGGCCGGTCGGTCGGTTGGTTGGATCACTTGAGACTATATACATATTTTTTAGAGAAATTTCGAACGAAATTAATTATTTAATAATTAATTATTAATCGGTTATTCTGAGGAATATTCTAAGGGATAATCGATTGAAAAGGAATATTCGAAGGATAATCCCAGCAGGATTTTAATTAAGGAAGTAATTATCTTCCTAGGGGTTCGGCTCCTATAAATAGCCGCCTCCCCAGCCCTAAACACACTACAACGAGCATAAACACAATAGAGAGAGTGTTCAGAGAGCTCCGGTTTTATCCTGGAGACGACCGGTTGATAGTCTGCCGTGCGCATCGAGGGCAGTGCCGCGAACGTCTTAAAGAAAGCGACCTAGTCCGCGACTCAGCTCCAGATTCGGTATCCTCATCTTGTTGTTGTTCCATTTCTAACAATTTTAAGACGTTCGGCTGCTGCTATGTCGACTGAACAGAACAACATGGCCGGATCTGGTGCTGTCGATATCAATCGACCGTTTCGCTTCGTTGGAGTCAACTTCCGTCGCTGGAGACAAAAGATGGAGTTCTACCTGACGACCAAGAAGTTGGCACACTGCCTCACCAGCATGCCCGTCGAGCTGCCGGAAGAAGCGACCGATGAGGAGAGGACTGCTGCTGCTAAGGAAAGGGAGCATGACTTCCTATGCAAGGGCTACATCCTCAACGGGCTGGCAGACGACCTCTACGACTACTATGCGGATAGCAAGAACACCGCAATGATGGTCTGGGATGCGCTCCAAAAGAAGTACGACACGGAGGAGGCTGGAGCTAAGAAGTATGCTGTCAGCCGCTACCTGCGCTATCAGATGGTGGATGACAAGTCTGTCGAAGTTCAGTCCCACGAACTTCAGAAAATAGCTCACGAGATCGTCTCCGAAGGTATGCCTCTGGACGATCAATTTCAAGTTGCTTGCATTATTGATAAGCTGCCCCCTTAGTGGAAAGATTTTAAGAATATGCTTAGACATAAAACCAAAGAATTTTCACTGGAAAGTTTGATTACTCGCCTAA